TCAATCCCCAGTACTGCTGGAAAAAAAAAGAATTAAAAAACAGAAAAGATAAAAAGTGAATGCCTAAACATTCAATTCAAGAAACCAGAAAAGGAACCAAAAAAAAGAAAAAGAAAAAGAAAAGAAAAGAAAAAATTAATAAGCATAAAGGAAGAAAGTAATGAAGAAAAGAAAACCAAGAGTTGATTTTTTGGCCCAGTGCTAGTGGCTCACACCTGTAATCCTAGCTACTCCAGAGGCAAAGATCAGGAGGATCGAGGTTTGAAGCCAACCCCAGGTAAACAGTTTGCGAGACCCTATCTCGAAAAAACCCTTCACACACACACACAAAATGCTGCTGGAGTGGCTGAAGTGGTAAAGCATCTGACTAGCAAGTGTGAGGCCCTGAGTTCAGACCCCAGTATTGCCAAAAAAAAAAAAAAAAAAACTGATTTTTTTCCGAGGTGGAACCTCACTATGTTGCTCAGGCTGGCATAGAATTCTCAGTCCTCTTGCTTCAGCCCCGAGTAGCTGGGACTACAGTTGTGCACCACTGTACCCAGCAGCTATCTGATTCTTTAATATGATCAATATGATAGAATGTCTATGTCAGTGCAGATATAGGGACTGCAGGGACTGCAAATAATTTGTGTGTGTGTGTGTGTGTGCGGCACTGGGGTTTAAACCCAAGTTCTTGTGCTTGCTAGGCAGGCCCTCTTCCACTTGAGCCATGGATTGCAAATTCTTTAGCCAGGAGGCATTTTTTTTTTTTTTTTTGCAGTACTGGGGTTTGAACTCAGGGCCTATACCTTGAGCCACTCTGCCAGCCCTTTTTTCTAATGGGTTTTTTTTTTGAGATAGGGTCTCACAAACTATTTGCCTGGGCTGGCTTTGAACCATGATCCGCTTGATCTCTGCCTCCTAAGTAGCCAGGATTATAGGCATGAGCCACCAGTGCCTGGCTGCCAGGAGGCCTTTCTGAACGTTAGTTCTACTACCAAGCTTTTGCTTGGCAAAGTATATTATTTATTTATTTCTGTAGAACGAATTAACTCACACTTAGGGTCTTGAAATAACAAGAACACTTCTCCCAGTTTCTGTGGGCCAGAGCCTAGCTGGAGCTTTGCTGTGTACCTCTGGCTCAGGCTCTCTCACCAGGCTGCGGTAGAGGTGTCAACTGCATGGGTCACTTCAAGGCTCAGGCTGGGTACCTGCCCATGTCAAGTTCACTCACATGGCTGTTGCCAGGCCTGGGGTCTGGGTGGTTGGTGAGAGACATCAGTTCTTTGGCACATGGATCTCTCTGTTGGGCTACTCACAACACTGCTTCATTACTTCTATGCAAGGGGAGAGAAAGAGAAAGAGAAAGAAAGAGAGAGAGACTAATCTTTTTTTGTGATATACCTGCCTTAGTCCATTTTCTGCTGCTATAACAGAATGCCACAGACTGGTAAAATTACAAAGAATAGTTTATTTGACTCACAGTTCAGGCCTTCATCTGTTGCAGGACTTTGTGCTGCGTGATGACACAGCAGAGCAGAGAGGAGACTGGGCTCTAGTTTCTTTAATCAGGACCCCGTGCCTGCAATAGCTGCATTTGCCCATCAGGTGATTAGATGGTCAGTCATCTCCTCAAGGTCACACCTCTTCACACTCCTCAGTGGCGGTCCCATCTGGAGGGAATATTCCAGCCACAGCACTGACCTCGGAAGTGATATTCTGTCACTTTTGCCTAGTCTAGTATTCTGTGAGTTAGACTCAAGTCACAAGGTCCTGCCACACTTGAGGGGAGTTGGTCACACAAAGGTGTGAATACCTCTGGGGACCACCTCAGAGGTAGCCATCACACAAAGGGTTCAAGGCCATACTCCTGGAGTCCACATGTCTTATTTTCTTCTTGCCAAGCTTTTTTTGTGGTACTGGGATTTGAACTCAGAGCCTCGATCTTGGTTGTCAGGGGCTCTACCACTTGAGCTACATCTGCAGCAAGCTTCTAATTTTCTATGATGTCATGATTCATTTGACTAGTTTTTTTCCTTCCCTCACCCATTATTTTTCTGATTGGACATGTAAGTTTTAAAAGCAATGCATGGTAGATTTAAAGGAAGCATCTAGAAGTATCTTCAATCAACTGTCAAGAGTGCAGAAAGGGTCATGAGGTAAGCAGGTTGTGTATCCATGGCAGTGGCTGGAGCTGGTGGGACACGCGCCTGCTGCAGTTAACTTGAGCGAGAAGCTGTCTACCTACAGCAGCCTGGATGCACCACCATTAGGGGGTCGCAGCTATGGCCAAGGACATCCTGGGGAGAAGGGGGGCTGTACTTCAATGAGCTGAACAAGTTGTGGGTGTTGGTTTACCCAGCAGACCACAGAGCTCAGTGAAGACTGCAAGGACTTTGTGCACAAAATTGGCCATTTCAGAAAATAGCTGGTAGTCTAATTGAGCTTGTGGACCATCTTGCAAAAGCAGCAGTGAATGAGAAGAGAGTCATTGGTGTTTGGAATCCAACAACAGCAACTTCAAGCACTAATAGCAGAAAAGAAAATGCAGCTAGAAAGTATTGGGTTGAATGTGTAAAGCAGAAACAGAACAAAATGAATTTATTGACCAGTGTATTTTTCAGAAGTGAACTGAAAATTTCATTTTTATAGCAGGAAGGCAAAAAAAGTCCTCCACAAACCAAAAAAACCTCTGTTCCATTCCAGTGACTTGACTAACGCCCTAAGCATGTCATGTTGGTGTGTCTGGAACACAGTCCTCTGAAGGCAGTAATGCCAAATCTGGGGGAACTGGTACTAAACGTCAGCACACAGCCACTGCCAGTGGCAAGGCAGGCAGGGCCTCCCTCTTCAATTCTTGGTGTGAACTAAGCAGTCTGTAAACCTTGATCCACTTTTTTATAAGTTCATAAAGCTTTGGAAAGAAAAGCAATGAATTATTGTTTCCAAAACAAAAAAGAAAAAGAGTGCAGAAAGGAGCAGGAGGGCTGGGAGAGTGGGAATTTCATGGCTTTAGTCTTTATGTCTGTTACTTATATAATTGACATGCTGGCTCCAGACATTAGAAATATTAAACAAGAAGGAGGGCGTTCCCTGTGCTCCCACTCCCAAGAGGGAAGCTGCTCACTCCCTTGTCACAGTTCCTTCCTGGTGTCTTCTCTGGATTTATATTATACACATCCCTTTGCCTGTGCAGCTGTTTAACCTGCTTCAATTGGGAAACATTTAAAGCCACAAATCTGTATTTCAGAACAATATTTCAATGACTGTGAAATTGTCTGCCTTTCAATGGCTACATTTATTGAACCGATTTCCTCCTGCTGAACACTTTCCTGAATTCTCAATTTTCATTATTAAAAATACTGTGTTAAATCTGTTTGCACAGAAAGTTTGGCTGACTCTGAAAACCTCTACAGGACACATTTCCAGGAGAACTTTCCTCCTGCTCTGGATTTTGTGAACCGGAGTAGTTTCTTCATCAGAGTTGGTGGTGACTGCACTGGGCCGGCCACTGGGAGGTCAAGTCCTGCTGAGATACCTGGGGTGTCGGGAACTGGCAGATGGCCCACTGCCCTGTGCTCATGTGAGATGCCACCTGTAGTCCCCTGGCAGCACAGAGAGGGGTGTGACTTATTTCCTTATTTACCCACAAGAAAATGAATCCCTTCTGAGCCTTTCTCCCAGGGCTAAGGCAAAGCCCAGAGAAGATAAGGGGCTTGAAATTGCTTCCACAACCTGAACCTAAGCCTCAGGACGGGCACCTGAAAACGCAGTATTCTGATTGTAAAAGTAATATTAGTTCACTATGCATTTTGGATAGTCCACAAAGGAAAAAGAATGCAAATATCACTTGTTTGAAAAGAATGTTTGGGGCTGGTGTGTGGCTTAAGGCCCCGAGTTCAAACCCCAGTACAGAAAAAAAAAGAATGACCATACTTATGACTCTTCTATGTGTATATGTTATATAAATGAAAGTTTGTTTGTTTTTTTTTTTTTTTTTTGGTGGGACTGGGGTTTGAACTCAGGGCTTCACACTTGCAAAGTAGTACTCTACATCTTGAGTCACGCCTCCGGTCCATTTTGCTCTGGTTATTTTGGAGATGGGGTCTCAAGAGCTACTTACCTGGACTGGCCTCGAACCATGATCCTCAAACTATGATCCTCCCAATCTCAGTCTCTCAAGTAGCTAGGATTACAGGCATGAGCCACTGTGCCTGGCAAATGAAAGGTATTTTTTTAAACAAAATCTATGAAAGAAAACCCATCGAAATCCCTGATCACTTACAACCTTGTCCTGTTACCTGCTGAAAGCTGTTTTCACTTTTCAAAACACCTTCTCCAGCCTTCGTTGTAATAAACTCACAACAAACTCTCAAGATGGTCTTTATTCTCATTCCATTGTCAGGAAGGGGAACTAAGGGTTCCAGGATTCTGAAACCTGCAGGACCTTGTCTATCAAGTCCTTGCTCAGATGCACCCCAAGGCATTCAGCACTACTGTCACCTAACAAAAGGAACATTTGTCTATTTATGTATGGAAGTGCTACGATGAAACCTCTTACTGTGTACAATTTAATATATACCAATTAAAAAAAAAACTTGGTGGGTTGGAGGCACGGCTCAAGTGGTAGAGTGCCTTCCTAGCAAGCACGAGTTCTTGAATTCAAACCCTAGTACCGCCAAAAAAATAGGAAAAAAAAATTGGAAGCTTGAGTGTGTTTTATATTTTTTTGTGGTCGTGGGAGCTGGGCTCAGTCAGGGAGGTTGGGTGGCCTGCCAAGTTCCCTGTGTTTGCAGTTTGTGTGAGGGTGGCGCTGGGCCGTCTCCCCTGGGCCCTGGAGAGCACTGAGGAGGGAGGCCGGGCTGGAGAGAGGCCAGAAGATGCTGTGGGCTGAGCTGACTATCTGTTTGCTCTGGGTACCTGGAGATGCAGGCTGAAAGACACTGGGATGTAAAGGGATAAAGTCCTCATTTATGGCTTGGGGGAGTTAATGTGTAATATTCTGGTGCATAAACTTGACCATGAGGTGAGACCCTGAGCACAGGTCTTCAAGAGCTGCTGGGAGCTGCTGCCATGTGGTAAGGATGTTCCCCTTTGTGGGGAGGGGATGGAGTGGGGCGCTTTGGGGTACAGTGTCACTGCCCCTTTCTGCTTTGTTTCCCCATCTGTGTGGCAAGGAGGTTGAACAGGTGATCTTCACAGTCCTTTGGCATCGAGGTTCTGCTTCTTCTGCCACCACCTGCTTCCGAGCTTGAGTCTGTCTCTCCCCTCTTAGCGTCAGTGTCCTCCTCAGTAATAACAACAGTAATTATTGATTTTTATAAAGATGAAGACACTGAGGTCCAGGGCTGGAGCCGCATGTGCTCAGCACACGAGAGAGGTGTCTCTGATTCTTTGATCCCACACCTGGCCCTGCCATGGCTTGCTGTATGGCTTTGGACAAGTTGTTGCCCTTCTCTGAGCCTCGGCCTCCCCTGATCGGTGGATTGCTTGGCGTCCTCTGGGGATTTGGTGTATATTCATCTCCCAGGGCAGCTGGGGTAAAGTTCTACAAAGTGGGGCTTAAAACATCAGACGTGCATTCTCTCACCTTTCTGGAAAAGTCTGCAGTTGAGTGTGGCAGGCTGTGCTCTCTTTAGGCTCTAGGGGAGGAGCCTTCTTGTCTCGCCCAGATTCTGGTGGTTGCTGGTGATCCCTGATGTCCCTCGGTGTGCAGCCATGTCACGCCAGGCTCTGCCCACTCTGCACATGGCTTTCCCTGTGTGTCTGTACCTTTATGTCCAAGTGTCCCTTCTCTTATAAGAACATCCATCAGTCATACTGGATGAGGTCAGTGACCTCCTCTTAACTTGATGACATTTGCCAGACCCTGTTGCCAAACTGGCCACACCCTCAGGTTCCAGGTGGATACCTGTGGGGGGGCACTATCTGAGCCTGGTGCTGGTGGCACAAAGGGTCCCTGGTGGAAGGTCCAGTGCTCCTTGTCTCTCAGGATCCCCTGATTTTCCCTCTCCTCTGGTCACCCCACCTCTCCTAGTTTTCCTGTGCTTCTCCTCCAGAGGCCACCTAATCCAACCCCTTGAGTCACAGATGGGGGACCCATGCCAAGAAGGAGTGAGGCTGGCCTTAGGTGACTTGGCCAGCTGGGGCAGACCAGGATTTAGCCTGGGTCCCCCTAACTCCCAGCCTACCCACAGTCTATGCACTGCCCAATTCCTTCACCTGGCTGTTTCCATGTCTCTCTAGTCTTAGACTTTGTTGAGTGGGGACAGGTCCTGCCTCCTGCTCCTAGTACCCTATTTGTCCAAATGGATGGGACCCTGGCCTAACCCACGCGCCTGCCCTGCAGCAGCCTACCCCACCCTCAGGGACTCAGGTTCTTCTGTTCCAGGGGCAGCTCCCAGGAGGTGCGAGTGGAGGGGGCTGCTTCTCTCCACCCCCACCCCAGAATCCCCCACTGTCCAGGGAAGAGGGTGACTCCCCAGAGCAGATGGCACCTTCTCACCAGGGCTCATGTTAGATGCTTGTGTGTTCATGGCTCATGCTTAAGTACTGCTGTGTTCTGTCTCATTTAGGAGGAAGTGTGGGTGACCTCATGGGACAGCTTCACCTCCCAGGGGCACCTGTGTCAGTGACAGCCAGAGTGAGAAGGTCAATCCAGCTGTCTGGCTGACAACCTGGAGCAGCTGCTACATGAAGCACAGACCTGAGGGGCTCAGCCTCCAGATCCCTCGGTCCCCAAAGCCGGGAAGTGTATCCAGGGGACATTAAGCCACATCTGGGGACATTTTTGGTTGTCACTGCTAGGGTAAGGATGCTCCTAGCATACAGTGAGTAGAGACCAAGGAAGCTGATTGCCACCCCACTGTGCTCAGGACATCCCCACAACAGAGAATTACCCAGCCCAAATGGCAGCAGCACCAGGCCCAGGACCCAGCTCTGAGGCATCACAGCAGCCTAAGTGGTACTGGTTTAGATCCATGCTACTACTGGGCTGAGTACTCCCTGTCAGGCCTGCCTCTGAAGGTTGGGCAGGGGATCCAGCCTCCCTGGCACACGAACCAGCACGTGAACTGCTGTCCTTGGCAGTACGAGAGGACGACTACCCTCCACGGCTGTGCAAATTGCCCTTGTGAGTTGGTTCAGGGCTTCTCTGATGATTCCCTCTCCAAAACCAAACCAAACAAAAACAAAATCATGTTAAGTAGAAATCTCACCGTGCACAAGGGTTCTCCCCTCCCAGATATTCTAGATCTTTGGTGCCTGTCATGTCCTGAGATGCTCCCTTTTAACCATGACACAGAGGAAGCATCTGAGGCCTAGAAATCCAGGTGCTGCCTCGGTTTGGCGAATCAGGGAGCAGATGATAACAGCGTTAAGTGATGGTCGCCCTTCAACTTGCCTTTACTGGAGTCAGGTCCTGTGTTTGGGACCTTACAAACAGGATCTCAAACCTCTTCCAACCATCGTGAAGGTGGCCACTGCTGTCATACAGCAACTGTTTTTTGCACAGTGCTGGGGATGGAAGCCAGTGCCTTGTGCATACCAGGCAGGTACTCTACCACTGAGCCATACACCCAGCCCAGCAACTGTTTTATTTATTTGATTTAGTGAATAAATCAAATCAGTGCACTTTATAGATGAGGAGAGAGAGGTTGAAGAGACTTCGATGGATCCATTCACACGTGGGACTTAGAAATTTTTGTAGATTGTTAATGGTGGATGGGCTGAGACCTGTTTGCCTCTGATATTGGCTTTCTGTATCACATCTGTGTCTCTGTGTTTCTACAGAAGGCAGGGAACCTTAATACTCTGGGGGACTGTAAGGTTGGCAGGGATCACTTTACCCACCCCGCAGATGGGACAAATGGAGGCACATGCTGGGCCCTGGGCCTCCAGGTCCAGCTGTTCTCTTAGAAGGGCTGTGGGAAGCCTGCATCAGAGCACTCTGGCTGTCCCCTTGCAGCCCAGCCCTGTGCCCTCCTGTGGACAGGGACAGGGGATCAGATGAGATGGGACAAAGCTCACGGACAAGTTTCACCTACAGAAAGGTGTTGGGCACGTTTTCAGTGGGTTCTCCAGTAGAGTGTTTCTTTGTTGGCTCAGGGGAAATTCGAGATCACTAACCTGGACATGAGCTGGGCACAAGTCTGAAGCTCAAAGGCAAGATTGCAGAGGACGCTGAGGGGTGAACAAAGTGGGGAGGGGGAGGATGGTAACCACAGGGAAGGTGGGGGACAGGCAGGGCAGTGCTGTGAAACAGTCTAACCCCACTGTGACTTCACATCAAATGGTCTTTTTTACTTCCTTCCTCCCTCCCACACTACTGTTGGCTCCCTTGTTAGAACCTGCCTTAGCATCTGAAGCTGGATTTGGGGACCTCCAGAAACTCAGGGGTGATCCATGCGCTCTGTTCCTTGCCCCAACAGTCACTCAAAGGGCAGGCAGAGAAGCCCTGGAGCTCTGTCTGGTTCCCTGCAGGTCGGGTGGCCTCCAATGAAAGCTGGAACCCCAAGAGGGACACCATCCTCTCAACCCAGCTGAGTGGCCTTTCCTGAGCGCCACCAGAGGCAGCCACCAGGGGGCACGAGCTGCCTCAGTTACAGCCGTTCCTAGAGGCAGATGAAAGCCTAGCAGCAGGCTCTCAGTGTGAGGGGCAATCTCCCCGTCTCTGGGAAATGATCTATAGGTGCCCTGGGCTGGGAAGGGGGCAGGCAGATGCATGGAGTGGAAGCCAAGAGAAAAACACCTTCTTTCTCCTACCTGTGTTCCTCAAGTTTACAAATGTGGGGACACCCCCGAGAGCCTTGCAGTGACAGAACCCCACAATCTAGAAGGTCCCATTCTCAGGGACTCCCATGGCCTAACACAGGCTCTTGCAGTGATCCTGTGAAGCCACAGCAACTCTGGTGGCAAACCTTCAGTGACATGGCGCCTACCAGCTCCTAAGTCTAGCATTCCGTCTCCTAACTAAGTCTAGCATTCTGTCCCGAGAGAGACACCTTTACTTTCTGAAACTGCCACCATCAGTCACTCTTCTGTCAACATCCTTGGTTCCTGCTCCAAGTGGAAGGTACCACTAGTGTCAAGCCTGTCTGGTTATCACCTGCCTTGTTACAAGGAACAAATCTCAATAAAAGCATTTCTCTGGTGCTTCTTCCAACTTGTGATCAACCCTGTAACCCAGGCTGTTTTTCCCCAGGGCCAGCCCCAAAACCTCTCCGTGACCCCCCACAGCTTCGTGGTCAACCTGAGCCAGGGACAGATATGTTGAACCTTGCATTTTAACCCATGCTTCAAAGAATCTGCCATTGTCTGTAACTCATGAGATGCCATCTTCTGCAACTCACAAGATGACAGCAAATGGGGACAAGAGCAAAGGAAAGGTCACATGTGCTTTAGCCTAGGGTCAGAGGTCAAAGGGGAAAGATATAAAGGGAGGACACAGACGGTAAGACCCCCTGCCTGGACATGTGTGCCACTGCTGTTAAGCCACTAGGCTCTTCCTGACATCCTCCCTCCCACCGCAGATCACTGTGACCTTCCAGAAAGATGAGTTCTGTTCAAGGTGACGCTGACAGATGGGTACCATATAACCTTTCCCAACAGCCTGGGCCACAGCCACCTGAACTACCTGGGTGTGAACAGGATTCTTATCTCCTCCTTCAAGCTGACTGAGAGGGCAGCAGCTGCTCGGAACAAAAGCCCTCTCTCCTGGACCCTCAACTTAAGCCCTTCTGCAAATTCCCAGCAAGCAGACCTTGCGTACTTGGTCTGTTCCCTCCCACACACACCCTCCTCACACCTTCCATATGCAGTTCCTGCTCCTCTGGCCCCGGATTTCCTCCCCCAAGGTCAAGAGCAAATAAAAGAATCCACTTTTGCCAAGTCTTTCTGTGGCAGCAACTGTAGTTAGCACTTTGCATGCATTTTAATGCTCCTGGCACCTTCATGACAAAGGGGAGGAAACTGAGGCACAGGACATAGCACTGCCCAGTGGAGTCATGCTCCCAAGCAGCCCAAAGCTCAGATCCTGCCTCCCTCCCCATTATCACCTGAGCACCTGCCAAGCTGCCTGTGGGACTGTGGGGAGACACCCGATCCAGGCACCTGGGATGGGGGCTGTTCCAGGAACTGCAGATAAGGGCTCCCACCTGGGCTTCTTATCACAGGGCATTCCAGCCTGGTTACTCATTACCTAGTCTCCCCCCCGCCCCCGCCCAGGCCTGGGGGGGGCAGGGGGGCGGGGGGGGTGGTCCTTGGCAGTTCAAACTCCCAGGAGAGGAAGAGGGGACTGAGCCTGGTCTCCCAGGTCCCCAAGATTCTTGCCTGGCACCTTTTATCAAAAAAACCTTTTTGAAAAAATCAGGCCCCAGAGACAGGTCTGGGGTAGAGAGTATGGTGGGAGGATGGGGTCATATCTGACCTTTCTGAGATTTTGGGACAGTTGAGGGTATTGGGACATAGCCTGGGATAGGGCTCTTGGGGATGCAAAGGTGACCCTCTAGGGGGAGCAGTCCCACTGGGAAAGGAGACAATGGCCTTGTGTGGTGCGTGCCCTACCCTCACCCCACAGGACAGCATCCTGGGGCACAAAGGCCACACTGTGAGGTTAGGCCCTCCAGCCAGTGGGGGGTGGCGCTTAAGAAGAGCTACTAGACCCAGGGTGTCAGCGGAGGGAGATGGGTCAGCTCACAGGACCACTGGGAACCTGGGTCCCAGAACAAGCCTGGTTTCCTCGGTCCTCCCTTCCACACTGGCCTCTAGAGACATGGAGCATTTTGGGCTACTTAGGTTCTCCTACCTCGTCTGGCAGGACACAGCTTTTAGGTGGGCTCGTCAGGTCCCGAGGCTGGCAGGGTCCTAAGCCCACACCCTAGACCCTCACACCTTGACCTCGTCCTCCTCAGCATCAGCAAACTCAAAGGCGTTGGCCTGCACTGTATGGGGCACAGGGGTCCTGCTGCCTGCCTGGGGTGCCCTCCACTCCTCATCCAGACTCTCCCAGGAGCCCCGAACCTGGGGCAGCACCCCCGCTAGCTCCCGCCGAGCATCCACCTCAGTGTAGTGGCGGCTGCCCCTGCTGCCCCCCCAGTTGGCTCCCCAGTGCCTGCTGAAGGTCATGTCAGGGGTCACTCGGGATCCTGCTCCTGCCAGGCTAGCCCTCCCCTCGGCCACTGGGCCTAACCCAGCAGTCACCCCATTGGGGAAATGTCCATGGGCTGGGGAATTTGTAGCTGGGGTTGGGGGGTTTGCAGCTGGGACTGGGGGGTTTGCAGCTGGGGTTGGGGAGTTTGCAGCTGGGATTGAGGGGTTTGCAGCTGGGGTTGGGGAGTTTGCAGCTGGGATTGGGGAGTTTGCAGCCGGGGCTGGGAAGTTTGTGGCAGGGGCTGGGAGGTTTACAGCTGAAGCTGGGGGGCTTATAGCAGGGGTTGGGGTCTCAGCTGCAGGGGCTTCTGAAAGGCTCATGACTCCTAGCAGCTCACTGAGAAGTGAGGGCCCAAGGTCAAGGTCAAGGCGAAAGGACAAGAGAGAGTCAGAGCGGCGAAGCTCGGGCTCAGAAGGGAAGGAGCTGTCTCTGTCTCGGTCACAGTCACGGTCACTAGACTTTTCCAAACGGGGCAGGCGGGAAATTGTGCAGAACCCAGAGTCCAGACCTAGAAGAAAAATGCGGAAGAGGTCAGAGCTGGGGTCTCTAAGTAGAACTTTTGGGAACACCAACCCTGACTTGCTGGGCAGCCTCCAATATGTTACTCCTCTCTCCAGCCTGTTTCTCCCATTTTTCCAATATAGGGAACCCTATGGTATCTTGTGTGACTCCTGAAACTGAAGGTTGTCATAATTTTCCTTCCCACTTTGCAGATGAGGAAAGTGAGGCTTTCCCAAGGCCAGTCTGGTAACAGCAGAGCCATGCCTGGAGCTCAAATCTTCTCTCAGTCCCCACTGTGAACCTGGCCATAGTGCCTGGCTTCCTGACACTGGCTGTGGCCTCAGTGAATCCATGGCATGTTGACTGGTTTGTGGTCACAGGATAGAAGCAGCAGCTGGGATCTGGCTGCAGAGAAATCACAGGCTCAGGACAGGCACAGTGGCCATGGTCATCTGGCCCAGCTCCTGCCCCAGCCTAAGACCACTGGGGTTAGTGTAGAGCATCCTATCTGAGGCTCTGGGTAGCCCCCTGGAGCAGGAGCAGTGGCAGGGCAAGGTGCAAGGTGGCACACTGTCACCAGGTGGCAGCAGGAGCCCTCGGTTCCCAGGCGAGCACTCCTGGCATAGTCAAGGTGGCACAGCATGAGTGGTTTTCCAAATTTGTCAAGTTATAGGAGCATTTGTTCAAATAACAACAAATCAAAGGTCCTGAGCGCCTATGTGACTTGGCCTAGCCTGGTACACGGATGACCTCACTGAATCTTAGCAAGAATGCTAAGTGACTCCTTACAGATGAGCGCACTTGAACTCAGAGGTCAGCAGGCACGCTGAGATTCAGGCAGAACCAGAATTGGAATCCAGAGCCCATGTTCTGAATAGCTCCTTGACATCATTCTGACACTGGAGGGCTGAAGGGAATGGGAGGTGGGGGGAGGGCAGAAGGGTAGCCAGGCCAGGGTCCAGGGACAGACAGGCAGCTGGAACTCAGGCTCCACCTCAACCTTGGTGTTTTGGGTATAAGTGGCTCCCACTTCTTCCCCGTTCCCCATCCATCCGTGGCCTGGGGTTTGGGCCTGACCTCCATGGGAGACCAAACAACAGTGGGGGGAGGCTTAGCAGAGCCACAGATCCCCTGGGGTCTCAGTTCTGAAAATGGGCACCTAACCCAGGTCCTTACCATAACCAGAGTGGCCGTCTGTGGAGCTGACAGGGCTGCCGTCGAAGCTGAGTTTGCCCACCACCAAGCTGTCATAGGCCGCCTGGTTGAGCTGGGGCAGAGAGATGGCGTTCTTGATGATGGGGGAGATGGCAGGTGGAGCTGGTGAGGGTGCTGGAGGTGAAGCCATCCTCCTGGCTGGCACCCCTGCCCTCCGCACCTGCTGGAGCTTCCTGGCCAGGAAGCTGCGGGGAGAACGGTGGGTACTCCCAGAGCTGCCACCATGGTTGCTGAGGAAGGAGGTGTCGCCGAAGACATCCCCACCACGGCCCACGTGCATGGTGTGACGGAAGTCCCCCAGCGGGGGGCTGATCATGTCTGCAGTCAGCCGCCTCTTTCCCTGAGAGCTGGACACCCAGCCCACAGGTGAGAGCTTGCCCAGGCTCATGGTGGGGGCTCCTGTGCCCCCCTGGGGGCCAGGCATCAGCTCTGACTGCTCAGGATCACTGGTTCATGCCCACCTGGGGCTGGAGAGGGAGGCGGGCTGAGCTCAGGACCCCCTTCTCAGCTGCTTCCTCTCAATGGAAGGTGGGCAGAGGTCACTCCTTGGCTCTCCCAAGGCTCTGTCCCCAATGCTGGGGACCACAGCTCGTCTTTCCACCAGGCCCTGGCAAGGCCGATGTCCTGCACGAGATGGGCCTCACGGGCGGTGGCCTCTGTCCTGTCCAAGGGTAGAGACCTGGAAGAAGGAGAGACAGCAATTCAATGTGGTACAGGCCTGGTGAGAAGGAGGAAGCCCTGGCACCAATCAATAACAGCTCAAGAAAGCAAATAAGGACTCCCACCAACATGGATGGAGATACAACCGGACACCAGCACAAAGGAGAACCTGCCCTGGAAGTCCCCGCTTAAAAGTTCAAGAACAGCCAGGCACCGGTGGCTCATGCCTGTAATCCTAGCTACTGGGGAGGCAGAGATCAGGAGATTGGGGTTTGAAGCCAGCCTGGGCAAATAGTTCATGAGACCCTATCTTGAAAAAAACATCACAAAAAAGGGCTGGTGGAGTGGCTCAAGGTGTAGGCCCTGGGTTCAAACCCCAGTACTGAAAAAAAAAAAAAAATCAAGAACAGGCAGGAGAGAATGGAAATAAAAATCAGAATCCCAGTTGCTTTGAAGCCAGTATCGACTGAGCAGGTCACAAAAAATCCATCCTACTCTGTGTAACGATGTCACTGCACACGCCTCTATAGTGGAAAGGAGAAATTGAGGCACGAGAAGTACAGCCTGAGGTTACTCAGCAGGAAATAGGGAAGCAGGGTCCCTATCCCAGAGCTCTTGAGCGCCAGGTGACACTGCCTCCTGCTGGCATGTGGAATAAGGCACCTCCTCTGTGGGTTAAAATCCCTTCCCCTGGACAAACTAGGAGGGAGGAGACACTGGCCAAACCTGCTGTGCACACAGCCAGTTACACAGCCAGCGCAGCGGCTCCTCAGAACTAGGCACCGTCAAAGTGCTCCCTGGAAAAAGGATCTTGTGGTCAAAATGGCTTTTCCCAGCTGTTTCTTGCATGCCTGGGCAGACTCAAGGCTCTGAGAAGGTCTGCAGGAAAGGGCTTCATCAGTCTGTCAAGTTGATATAGGCGCTTTGTTGTTGGAGAACGAGTTTTAGAAAAATCTCTGCCGGTGCCAAAAGCTATTCCTTGTGCACTCTCTTCCTTCCTGACCCCCCACCCCCTTCCTGGCCCCACCTTTCTCTAAGCATCCCTCCATGTGTGACAACTTCCCCCACGGGCTGGAAGGCACCTAGGATCTTCCAGTCTGGTTTTCCTATAGCCTTTAGAGGGCCAAGCTTACTCAAGGTCACATGGAGAGCTAGTCAAGACTTGAACTCAAGGCCTCTGACTTACATAAGCCCTTGACAGGCTTGTGGCGCCCAGTCTTGTCTCCTCAGCTAGGCAGCACACTTTAAGGGAGAGGCAGCACCTGGATCTTCCAGCCCTTCTTCCCTCCCAGCCCCCAGCCTGAGTTCTGCACACCGCCAGGGCCAAACCAAGGCTGGCTTAATCTCTGTAATAACCTTCACGCCCAAGGACCACCCCTGCCACCTTCTGAGGGGTGAGGTGTCCTCACAGTGTGACCTTGGGCAAGTCACTTACCTCCACAGACCTGGGACCTCAGCTGATAAAGGCTGATAAGATCTTTAGATTTGAATCCCAACATTTTTTTTCCTTTTCCTAAGCTACTGTGGGCCACCTCCGAGCACAAAAATCTTCAATCTTGCCCTTCTCATATTATTTGAAATTTAAAATAGGTGAAATAACAAGATAAAAACAAAGAAGGCAGAAAGACAAAGCCTGCTTTGTTTTGTGACTGCATTCTCTGCGTCCCACCATCTGACCCTCCCCCAACCCTAGCCCCTCCCCCTGGGGGGGACTTCTGAATCATCCTTTGGCCTGGCACCCCAGGCACTGGGAATGTTTGTTGAAGTTAGGAAGCTCTGCAGTTGGCCAGCCATGACCACTGTCATGACATGACGTCATCTGATTCTCCAACAACCCCTCGGCTCAGGTTCGGAGGGAAGAGACTTGTCCAAGGTCATGGGGCAGCTGCATGGTAGGGGTTAGGTTTCCCTGCTCTATAGAGATTAAAGATGAATCTCTCAGCCAGGCATGGAGGCTCATACCTATAATCCCAGCTACTTGGGATGTGCAGGTAAGAGAATGGAGTGTCGAGGCCAGCCAGCAAAGTTAGCAAGGCCATTTTTCAAAAACATAAAAACAAAAGGACTGGCTCAAGTGGTAGAGCAAGGTCCTGGGTTCATTCCCCCCCCCCCCCCCCCCCCCCCCCCCGCCCCAGTACTGACTGGAAAAAAAAAGGATAAATGTCTGGGGTAGTAACGGGGGTGGGGCAGGTGTCACTCTGCAAAATGTCACAGTAGATATGGGTCAACTGTGTCTACCATGCAGCATGCAGTCACACCCACCTCTCCTCCACTCCAAGTCCCCGATTGCTGCAGCAGTCCCTACCCCTAGCAAAGGGACTCCCATGACCGCGTTAACTAGGGAGACCAGCTTCCTCCCCAATCCTGGATGATCCCACCTCCCACAAGCCTCAGGCACCTCCTGATAGCACCCCTACCTCCATCTGCCAACTGTAGTGGACAGACTCCCCCCACCCCAGAAAGGGGCTAGGATCCCAGCAACCCTGTCTTCCCATGTGGAAAATGGGCAGAGCATCCCAGGCAGGTTCCTGCCATGGGAGGGTGCAAGTGTGACGGGTATGGAAACAGCTCTCCTATCCTGGATCCGGGTGGCCCTGGGTTCAAATCCAACACCTTATAGTAACATCTTCCATTCTGGGGACCTCTGGTGGCCATGACTTGCCACTTAGTGCTGACCACAGGTACTGGGACCCTTAGGGGTGCCCCACCTGCACAGAGGTTCACCTGGTAATACTCACAGCTCCCATTTCACAGATGAGAAAACTGAAGTTCACAAAGGAGAGACCGATGTGCCCCAGATTGCAGAGAAAATTGGTGTGCCAACACCAGTAGGAAGTGCTCTGGGGTTGGGGTGAAGATGGCTGGGGATGAGGAAGAACCCCTGGCTGTCCAGCATGGGGCAGCAGGCCTGGGCACAGGAGCTGCAGTTCTACAGATACAGTGCCTGTGACCTGGACACAAGCTGTCACCATGCAGTCTCAGTGTCCCCCAGAGGCCTTATATTTACCCTGTAGAGGACAGTCAGGGCCTGGGCACATGGGCAGAGCTCTCTTAATGGCAGTGATGACCTCAAGAGCAAGTTTGGGACTGGGGACAGGGATGATCACGCACTAAAGAGAGGCCACCAGGGCCGCTGTGGAAGCACGTGAGGTTGGGAGAAGATTACCAGCTGCTCCCACAGTAGAGGGCCAGGTGGGGGCGAGTGGGGGTGTCACCTGCAGGCCACACCCCTTTCAAGGCAGTGTTACAGTTTCATTCTGGAGGCCACCGCCCAGGGCACAGAGCCCCCTCCTCAAGGGCATCCTGCTGGGAAATACTGTCAATAAAACAGGCAGGACTATGGGTGCCAGTCTTGGCTAGGGGGATCCCCCTGCTCTTTGCCTGGGATTAGGGGTTACCTCCTCAGGGCAGTTCCTCAAATTCCAGTCACATCAAGGTAGAAGACAGGGAAACTGAGGTCAGGAAAGGGTTAGTGAATTGCCGGAAGTCACTCCCCCCGACACGATTGATTTTCAGAACTCAGAGGAGGCCTAGGCAGGTAGGAGGAGGGAGCATTTTGGGCCATTAGGGAGCGACGGGGCAAGGGGAAAGAGAGAGCTCTACTTTTTCTGGTATTTGGTTTTGACACAAGGTCTCACTGGCCTCCAATTTGCGACCCTCCAGTCTCGCCTCCCCAGTGCTGGGATTACACCATCAGCCACCAAGCCCAGCTAAGAGTGGCTTCTTGCCCCATTCGCTCCAAGTTAGTGCCTATCAGCCCTCCCACTGCGGGAAGGGTGTCTGGTCCCCGCGACACGTTTTGTGCAGCCGTGGTCTCCCAGATAATCTCCGCGCCTCAGTTTCCCAGTCAAGAAAATGGGTTTTAAATTTCACGGGTCTTGCATGACTGGGGCAAGGACCGAACAATCTGGAGCACGGCCGGGATGGGAGGTCCGGGCAGAACATCAACCAGAAAAACCTTCTCCCTGGGGGCTGGAGAGGGTCGCCCCGCGCGGGACGGCCGGAGGGGAACCGGACGGGATGATCTCATCCGCAGCTCCAGCCTGGAATGCGGCGGCTGGGGAGGGGGCAGGGTGCCTGTCCATCTCCGCAGTCATGTCCCCTCCGCCAACTTCCCGCTCTCGGCGTCGGCCTGGCCGAGGGGCCCGCATTCCGATACCTCGCCCCCTCCCGGTTCCTTCCCGTCCCCTCGGGCGCAGCTTGAAGGCGCGCAGACGACCCCCGGCTTGCGCCTCTTCCCGCAACCGGGTTTACCGCTCACCCCTCAATTTTCCGCTCCCCCAGCGCGCCAGGAACGCGATCAAACACCCCGAAAGCTCGGCGTGCCCCCGCCGCTCCCGCCGCGCTCCGGCCTCCGCGTTGGCACCGGGTGTCCCGCGCAGCCAGGCTCGCGCCCGCCCGACCCCGAGCGCCTAGGAAGTGCGGGGTCCTCCCGCACCGCGTCCCCCGGCGAGGCCCCGCCCGCCCGCCGCGGTTACCTCCTCTCGGCGACCCCCGGAGCCGGAGGTCCAGGGCGGGCGCGGCGGCGGCGGCGGTGGCGGTGGTGGTGGCGCGTCCCGGCGCGCAGCTCAAGAGTCGCTGGGCCGGTCTGCGCCGCCCTGGCCGCGGGCTCGGCGGCTGGATCCGGGGGCAGAGGCGGGGTGTGGGCGCTCCCTCCTCCCGCCCCTGCGCCCGCCCGCCTGCCCGCAGGGCCGCGCCCCCTCCCGGGCTGTGTCCACGCCGCGCCGGCGGCAGCCAGGGCTGGAGGGGCGCGGCGGGGGTGCCAGGCCAGGCCCCTGGCCGCTGACCCGGGCCAGGGCGAGCCCGGGAATGTGCGGTTGCCTGCAGGGGGGCTGCCCCGGGTTGGTGGTCGGCTTTCTGCTGCCCACTGCCCCCCGCCCGCCACGGGGACTCCCTGGATGGCCTCTGGGCGCCCAGGATTGCTAACTCTGGCTCCTGGGCTGGGAAGCCCGGTTCAGAGCCTTGAATGCCACAGAGAGTTTGAATTCTACAAGTGTGGAATGCCCACTCCCTGGCTCCCACCCCCATTCCTGTTCACTAAATACAGGCCCTGTCGGGGGGCCAGCAAGACAGACTTCGCCACATTGAGCCACAGGCCACAGCAGGCCACTTGTAGAGTGGTGGAGTGGTCAAGGTCGTGGACTTGTAGCTGGGACAGCCTGAGTTTCCCTCCTTGGCCACTACTATCTTTTTTGTGCCTCCATTTTCCCAATCTGTAAAGTAGGATAATCAAAGTAGACCAGGCATTATGTCATTAAGTGTTCCCCACTCTGTCAGCAGCTTTTCTGGTCAGATAAACAAGGTCACACCTTAGGAAACTTTAATGAGTCCCCCTCATGGAGAGAAGGGAATCAGGGCTCAGCCATTGCCAGGACCTTGTGCCATCCTCCAGGTGGGAAGAAAGACCTGGGACCCCTGCTTCATGCTGTCCTTGAACTGTGAGCTTCCTGAGGACAAGTAGGCAGTCCTTCGCTGTTGTGTGGCTCAGAGAGGCTGCAACTCAGCAAGTGTTCCTAGGGAAGAAGATCCCGAGTTAAGTCTTAAGAGGACCAGAGCGAAGTGCAAGTGCACATAGTACAGCGTGGGCAGCCTGGGCCAGGGCTTGCAGCTAGGCGGGAGGAGGACGCATGGGTGGCTGGGGAAGAGGAGCAGTAGGTAGTGTACACATGGGTGGGGAAGACAGGTCTATGCTGCCCACGGAAGTGAGGGGCTTTGCCTCCTCCCCTGGCTCTCTGAATGCCGGCCACCAACGGAGTTGGTTATTCCCCAGCTGGAGACAAAGAAACAGGCACAGAGCTTTGCAGCACTGGCTCCAGTGGTCCCGAGGTAGAATTGAGAACCGGTGGGTTAGAGACCGTTCCCTGGGGGCAGGCCCCGAGAGGAATGGGAACAGTGTCACCAGGTCTCAGAGGTACTGAAGAGCATGAGTGAGGAGGAAGGCGGCTGCCCTTAAGAACAGGGACCAGGAAGTGGGAGGCACTCTCAAGGGCCAGGGCCCCTACTGTGGTAGGGCTGGGGAGCCAGCAGGCTGGTCAGGCAGGTGCATTTAAAAGCTTCCTTTTATAAGCTCCCAGCTTTTAGCCAGGTGGGCGTGGTGACTCAAGCTGTAATCCCAGCTACTTGTGAAGTGGAGATCAGGAGGATCTTCATTAGAGGCCAGCCCCAGCAAAAAGTTCACGTGATCCCATCTGAGCATGGTAACTGTCACCTGTCATCCCAACTATTCTATTTGGAGGAGATCATTGTCCAGGCTGGTCTGGTAAAGTAAAACCCTGTCTCAAAAATTACCAGCACAAACCGGGTGCTGGTGGCTCACACCTGTAATCCTAGCTACTCAGGAAGCAGAGATCAGGAGGATTCAGGTTCCAAGCCAGCCCAGACAAATAATTTAAGAGACCCTATCTCGAAAATATCCATCACTAAAAGAGCTGGCAGAGTGGCTCAAGGTGAAGGCCCTGAGTTCAAGCCCCAATATTGCAAAATAAATAAATAAAATTACCAGCACTAAAAGGACTGCAGGGTGGTTAAAGTGGTATAGCGCCTACTAGCAAGTGGGAGGCCCTGAGTTCAACCCCCAGTACCACAAGAAAAATTAAATAACTAAAACAAAAGCTCCCAGCTTTTAAATGCACATCAGGCCTATAGCCCCTTTCGTGCATTATTGCATTTACGCTGCATGACAGTCCCACAGGGACAATACTGTCCTCATGTCAATTTTGCAGCGATGTGAAGTGACTTGTCCAAAGTCCTCTACTTTGGTAGGATGGCCATACTTCCCATTTGTGAAGGACATCTACTGTCCCAGCACAATTATTAATAGCACTTGCTTTCACTCTCATGGGTGATCTGGTTAGACAGTGAGTGACACATCACTCGTCAGAGGGTTCCTGGAGCAGCTGGCGAAGGAAGCAGTTTGGTGCATTGTCAAAGGTTTGAGTTCAAATGCTGACCCACGGACTGATCATGAACAAAGCACCTGGCCTCTCTTAGCCTAGGCTTCTTGTCCATAAAATGGGTATGCCACCCATGCCCATGCAGGTTTTTACTACTTGCAGGAGTTTCACAAGCTCCAAAGAGACGGCTGAGAAAGCCATCCTTTCTCAGGAAATGGTCATAACCTGCTCTGCTCTTGGTCCATCCTCTTTACCTCCGTACCAGTGATCAAGAGCCTCCCAACTCCCTTCTGGGTACTTGCCTCCTCCTGGCTCACTGTATGGCAATCTTCAAGTCAGGAATTCTTGCCCCATTTTGCAGATGGGTAAACTGAGGGTGAGAGGAGCCCTCTTTCTCCTTGTAGCTGCTCTCCAGATAGAAGTCCATCTCATGTAGGCTGCATCCCTGTTCCTGGCTCACTCTAGATTGAAGAACTCTGCCCAATTTGTCCTTCTGGGGAATGGGAGAAAGGGAGGGGGTCTCTATCCATGAGAAGGACACAGGGGTGGACAGTGCCCCTTCTTCATTCTTTTCTTCTCATCCATTTCCTGCAGTCCCCCTTGCTTCACCTCAAGAGACTGTGCTGTACATTCAGGGGTTAGCCCTGGCAGAGTGTAAGGTACTGCCTAATGCCCCTGTAAGAAGAAGGACAAATGTGCCCCAGCTGGGAGTGGGAACTGCTGGTGGCTTCCTGTGCTTTCCTATCTGGAAGGGGCCAGGCCCCTTGGGCTGCACTGCACTCACGGGGCTCGGCTGCCTCCTGCCTTCTTCCCCTGGCAGACTGCATGTGCTGAGGTGGGGGCTACCAGGGAGGAGGCAGGGAGTTCTAGACAGATCTGGGGAGGAAGAGCCAGGGCACAGCCTGAGAGGGGTACTTCCCATTTGATGACTCAGCAGTGCCAGGTGCTGCCTACTAGAATCTGGTGAGGCTTGGACCCTGGGGCTGAGCAAGTTGGCTTGGCCACATCTGTGAGCCCCTACCTTAGCACCTCCCTGGGGGCATGCTTCCTTTGCACCCCAAAGTCTGGCTGGGCTTTTGGTCAGTGTATGCATTGGCTCGTTGACCCACTGATCAGTCCTCCCAGCCCTGCGTCTCTGGAGTGTCCAGTGACTGATCCACCCACAGATCCAATTGCCAATTCCTCCATTGGCACTTCCCGGTTCACCCACCTACGCACCCCTCTCTCACATCCATTTGCCCACCTACTTCCCATCTGTGAATCTACTGCCCATCTCCATCAGTCCCTAACGTCTTTACCTCCATAGCCACACCTCGTCCATTTCTCCATCCATCTTCCCACCTCCACATCCACCTACCTGCTGCAGCCACCCAGCAGCCCTCGATCATCGTCCACACCTGTACCCATCTGCTTACTCCTCCTCGATGTCCATCTACCTGTCCATCCATGCATTCACCCACTCATTTCCCTTTCCATCTGGGACACCTTATGCTGACTCACACCTGACTTCTGCTGACCACCTCTCTAGCGTGTCCTCATCTTTCTCCTATGCACACACCTTGCTCACCTCATGGATGGGCTACCCTTAGGCCTCTTAGATGCCCTCCTTCAAAGCCAGTGCCCTCCACCTGAGTCTGGTCCATCTGGGCATCCTTGCCCAATGAGATTTCCAACAAGTTGCTTGCTCTGTGCTCCAGGCACATTTGTCAAGGCCATTCTAGGAAAGGGGCCCTTGTCCCTCCACCTGGAGTCTCACCATGGCAGGTATCCTCCTGGGTCCCCTCCAGGGGCATTCACTGGCTAGACTCCTATAAGGACTCAGACACCCCTGGGCACCAAAGGTGGGGATGTGGTGGGCTCCCCAAGAGATTCCTGCTGTAGACCCTCATACCTAGGGGAGGTTGACATTAGGGCCAAGAGGGTGGCTGCACCCTAGGCCCTCCCTTTTATGACCCAGGATGCATTTCTAAGTCAGACAAACCCAGGTTCAAATCCTAGCTTTGCCTCTAACTGGCAGAGTAACCTTGGGCATATGGCCCCCTGGCCTTGGCCTCAGTTGGATAGCCTGTGATGACCCATAAAATTCACTGCTGTTCTGTAGTCAATCATCAAGAAAGGGCAGCTATTATTGTTACCACTGGCACTTTCTTTTTTCCAGGTACTGGAAAAGCCTAGTACACGTTGAGGGAGGAGCTGCTGTGGGCAGCCCTGCACTGGGTACCTCGTGAGGGGCAGTGGTGAGTACAGGAGGCAGTCCCTGCTCTCCACAGGCTTGGAGTCTGTAGTCTCTTAAGACAGAGACCAGGGTATTGGTGGAATGAAGGGGCCCAGGAGGCAGAGCATGGGTAGGGAAGGGTCTGGGAGGCTTCCTGGAGAAGGTGGCATTTGAGTTAGGCCTTGTGTCTTGGAGTAAGAGTGGTCAGAGAGGAAGCTGGGGAGAGAGCAGCCTCATAGGGAGGCAGGGTGGGAATGGGCACACCTGAGGGTGCTCCAAAATCCTGCAAGGTGGAAGATGAGCTGGGATGGCCTGCTGTGGAGGGAGGGTGGGCAACAGTCCTTGAATGCTGAGCTGAGGGAGGGAGGGAGGGAGGGAGGGATGTGGGAGACCTTGGGTGGCTGGGCCACTATACTCAGGGACAGCCCCTGGGTCAGGGCAGGATCTGGGATGGGGTTTCTTCATTTGCTGAT